TATTATTATTCTCTCGCTTACCTGACCATAGCTATAGTTGTCGTTCTTCTTTTGACCGGTATTCGAAATGGCATTTTATCGAATGATTTACAGTCTTAAAGTCTGAGACGCGGCCACGTCGAGAAGCACTGAAACACAACACTCGATAATTATTAACATTTTTTTTTTTTTTTTTTTATGATTTCAATAAAAGATTTAAACGGATGTTGATGGTTTCCCTTTAAATCAAACATATGAAAAACCAACGATTTTCGGCGCAATCTGGCCTGAAAAATTGCAAACTAAAATCCTGGGGCTTGATTGTGTATTTTGAAATTAAGTGAAAATTACAAAAGTGAGCAATAATTACTAGGTATTGACTAATTAAATTATGAATATTCTAGTGTGTTTACTTTTATAATTTTCACCTCATTCAAGATACACAATCGACTCCCTGCATGCTAAAGTCCTCTTGGATCCGTAAGCGCTCGCTTGCTATTGGATCGAAAATATTCTAAAAGAATACACCAATTCGCTTCGCAACAGTTAAATTTAGTTTACATATTTTTAATGTTAAATAATTTAACGCTTAAATTACGTTTTTTTTTGTTGTCATAATAATGTACATCATAACGTTAAAATAATTAAATTATTTTATTATTGAAAATATGTAAATCGATTTATTTATCACTCAATTGCATTCAATGTTGCACTAGTTTTCTCAGCGGAAAAGAGTATATGTGCGTCATCTTTATATGCATATAGGGTGTCTCTAAAAAAATGAAATCGGGTAGCAAGTTGATTGAGATTCTTGGCTTGGAATGTTCTAGAAACTGTCAGAAACAAAGTCTGACAAAATCGGGAAAAATATCGTGAGAGAGAAGAGAGGGAAGCATATAAGCAATTTATTGAGCTGTTCTTCCAAAACTTAGTGGGGTAGATAAATACAGAAGAAAACAAAAAGTATTAAAGTAATTAATATCACTATTTTATAACTGTACAATTTCTCGTATCTAATCTATTTCTCCGATTATGTACAAATATATTAACAATTTAATTTAAGTATATCTATTATATGTGAAGGAAAGATAAGTTCGCTGTATGTGCGTATGTATGTAATCAAATACTAAATAGCCAGGTTAAAAAATAGCAATTTTTTTTTAAATACCAGAAAGTGACATTTTCATCAAGCGACAATATAACAGTAAAAGTAACTCCATTTTGAAAATCATATAAGAATATTGTTATACAGTGACAAAATCATCCCGATCGCTCATCTGCGCTGACAAACTGAATGCCGTATCCGTACTAGTCTCACTATTCAAGCTTTCATTTGCAAATGAAGGTTTTAAATTAACGGAATCATTCATTTCCCTCATCAATCCCGCCATATCGTCATCAGGATCAATTTCTTGTGCTTCGCCCACCACGTCAATTTCCATCGATTGACTATCGATCATTGATGCTTCTTGCTTTACGAGTTTTTCCTCCTCGAACTGTGAACAGAGACAAATACAGATTACAGAATATTCATAACCAGCTTCAGATAGTTATTGGTATGAAGGTATGGAGTTCTACCATACCTTCATAGGTTCCAGTTTACACGGCGGTGGCAAGTTCATGTGAAATACACAATTCGAATCGAAAATCACCGGCACCGGTTCGTGACATTCGATGTCCGCTCGTACAGCTCCGCATGCTTTGAATAAAACTTGATGTTGATCCTGTGCATAATATCAAACAGTGGAACAAGAATTTACAGATCAAGATATGTTACATATCTTTTTTTTATAGAAAGTAATATAAATGTGTACCTTTAATATATGTTTACGACAATGCTTAGCCGACGGAAGCGTTCTTTCACCACATTTTACACCACCTTCGGTGAATACACATTTTGATATATTGGGTGGTTTTTGAATAGGCTCGGTTACCTGAAACATAATTTTTGTCATATACACACAACTGATGTAAGTGATACATATTTATTTGAATGTCAATGATGTAAATAATATTCGAATGCGAACGTGGAATGGCAAACAGCACACTGGTCTATCATGCCAGAGGTCCTGGGTTTGATCTGAGTAGGAACCAAAATATTTAGTGTCTCCTCTCGGAAAAGGCCGGCAACCTTCCGAGAGTATTCTTGCCCATAAAAATACTTCTCGAAAAATCCACCGTTCGGAATCGACATTAATACTGTAGGTCCCATATGTTCATAGTAATTAAATAATTAGCGTGCGCATCACAAACATATGAGAGAGGTATAATACATGCCAGAGATCTAACGTAAGAAGAAGATAAATAATATTCGTGATACTACCTGTGCGCGACGTTCTAATGACTTTCTATAAAGTATCGCTTCAACACCACTCCGTCTGTGATAACGATTTAAAGCTTTTAGTTTCTCATAAAGTTTTTTCTCTTTTGCAGTTTCTCTTTTTTGACTGTATATACTACCTACATATTGCATATAATTCATTTAGAATTCAGAAAAGATAACAAAATGTTGAAATTATCTAAAAATATACTTACATAATGTTTCTTTTTCTTTCTTCAGAGCGAGTAAATATTTTCGTCTTTTCTCCTTTAGTATATATTGAAGTCTTCTGAATTGATCGATATAAAGAGATTGAAGTCTAATTAGTTTTTCTCTCGCGATATAAATTACCTCTTCTGCGGTGAAGATACCAGCGTGCCTTAAAAAATTAATACTAATAATTTAGGGAGTAAGTAGTATCTTATTCTTGCGCATAAAGCAACTACTAAAGAAAATTCAAGATTAGAAATGCAAAATATTCTCTCTCCATCTAACGTTGTACAATTTTTAAAATTAAAAAAAAAGGAGAAAATATTTTATTAATCCTTTTACATTTGTTTGAGAAATATTTAATTTAAAACCATACTAACTGTTTAAATTTACCTATTCTATACAAATAAATTCTAATATTAGATGTGAGTAATAAAAAAAGGTGAGTAATATTTTTTTATTAAGTATAAAGTTGCACAAGCTGAAGCATGCTAGCGGATTATTCTAAAGCTGTATCACACTAGAGACAGAAATTGAAATTGAGATTGGGTGGAAATTTGATCAATCAATGCAAAGTTCACTGAATTTAGTTTTCTTTCTTTTAAGGCTGAATTGTTTCATCTTTCAATAAACTTCAGCTCACTCTCTTATTCTGTTACTCTTTTATTCATTAGATAAATTATCACATACTTTATTGAAAGATGGAACAACTAGCCATTATTGATTAAATTTCTATCCAGTCCAATCTCAATCTCTAGTCTGATACAGACATTATGTAATAGCGTAATTCTCAAAACAATTAACATACACATTCGTACACCAAAACACACACACACATACACACAGTGGAGTTATAGAGCACACTTACTTCAGGGGATCCTCTTGTGGACTGTGTAAACTTTCATTATCACTATCATCGAGATGAACTCCTCTCAAGGTGTCAGTGACGACTGTAGGTTCAACGTCACTTTCTGACGAACTGGCATAATCTAAGATGTCACTTCCACTTGCATTTACTCTGTAAGCATCAACTTCGGCTGAAAAAACAATAACTTGATATTCTCATTTGCAAAAAACTTTTGTCAATATGCAAATTTATAAATGAACAAGCAAAAATTTACAAATTCTAAATTTAATATTAAATATTTACACAGTAGAAATGCCTTCTTAACAACAAGAGTACAGACATTTTAAATAAAATATTTATAAAAATCAAGGTAATGTAATTAAGCATTGCAAATAAAATTATATAAGAATTTGAGATTAGAATTATATTAGAATGCTTACTAAAAGGATCTAAAGCTTTCACTTTTCGTTTCTCCTGTTCTGTATCTTCAGTAGAATCAACTGGCTTGACATAATGGCTTAAATTAAGCAGCAGCATCTCAGGTGTTTCTGGTAAAGAACGCCGTGATGTTGATTTAATCCGGGCAATTTGTGCTTTTCTAGAGTGTTCACTACAGTATCTACAAGTGATAAATATATAACTATTAATTTCTCTAAAAAGAATAGTTTTATAATTTTATTGGATACAATAAGAAAGTATATTTACGAGACATCTCTTCTATCCAATTTTGGGGCTGGATTCTGACACTTTCTTCCATTAGTATTGTATACAAATGCACATTGTTTGTAAGGCGCACTGGAATCCTCGAGAATATGCTTGGCGCAATATGAATATCCTTCCAGACTAGATTGTGTACATTCATAGGATGCATAGAGACAACTTTGAGCCTGCTTGGAACGTTTTGTAATTATTGTTGCAGTTGGTACAGGCATTGTAGACTTTGGTATCCGAAACATGCCTTGTTGTTTCTAAAAGATAAATGCATGAGTCAATTTGGTATGAAATCTTTAAAGGTAGGTATGAGAGTATCAATTCTCAATTTGACTTCAAGTAAGGCGTTTTAAAAAAAATACGGTTATACTTTAACGAACAAAATGTGTACAAATTATATTATTTATAGTTTTTATACCTTGTATTATATTAAGAGTCTGTTTTTGCTTTCTCTTACTCCTCATTAATCCTAGACAATAAATAGAAGCAAAATCGAATTTATTGGGATAATCTTTGGATAATGGCAGCTTTCGTTCTAATGACAAAAGATGTGTGTTTTGCTTTACTTCGTATCGACCTTCAGCCCTTTATGTCTTATTTCTGTCGGTTGAACTTACACTTTTGCAGCAATTGCAGTTGATTGCAATATTGAGGAATCGCGGAGAGGTTAGAGTGAAAAAACCAATGGCCTAGTTTCCACCGAAGGTATAAACCGGATCAGAATGTAAGAACCAACCAACTACAGTCGAGTATTCTCCTGTTACGGCTCAAACACAATAGGCACAGGCAACAGGGAATAACAAACCATCCAATCAGAATTCTGGTGTGTAAGTTTAAGATATTATATCTCTATATGTTCTCCAATCGGTCTCACTTTGCAAAACTTCTATAGGGCTACGTTCCAAAATCTTCTATAGGGCAACGTCCTCTCCGACAAAGATTTTACTCGAAATATATAGTACACGTAACGTATACTATAGTATATAGAGTAAAATCTTTCTCGGAGAGGAAGTTTTGGAATAAAGCCTTGAAATGATAAAGTTAGATTGAATTCATCTTTTGTCGCGCGGTGAAAATTAGGTCTGTTTTTTATTGCTGCACCCTGAATCGGTAAAACGTATATTTGTTTCACTTCAATCTATTGCACTATGTATACCAGTTCAGAAAATGCAGCAACAAAAAACAGACCTATTGTATTTCCATTTCGAGTAAGCGAGATGTTGATTGGCTGTTGCGTCAATTTCCACTGTGCAGCAACCAAAGTGTTTTGCGTGGCAAAAGCCAGGAGACCGAATTTGAATAACTAGGAACTTTAGTATGGACGAGACAAAAAGCATGTTTAAAAGTGATCGTCTAAATTAGTTCGAGCAAGGCGTGTTTCGTTCCACGACACTGTTTTTGCATAGTAAATCAATTTGTATGGTAAATCATATCGATTTTATACGAAAAATGTAAATTTTTCATACAGTTTTAATGATAATTTATGTAAATTTACAATTTTTGTCATGATTTATTTTATCACCACGTGTCGAGTGTCGTAAAAAGGTACCTTCACGTATTTCCGCGTTTCCACGCTTTATGTAATAGCATCTTTACTTTAATGAGTCTCAGAACGACTCTTTTCTGTTCCTTCTTTGTGTTTAGTTTTCATCAGTAAGTAATAGGAATTAAGGAGACCAAATTCGAATTCGTTTAAAAATTGGCTCGAAACACGTTGTCGAAAAATTCATGAAAACTCTATTGTAGATCCGGGGTAAATCCGGTTCTTAAGTCTTAAGCTATAAGGAATGAATCACAATCAATTATTCTCCACGCGTTCAAATTCATCAATTCCTTACGGCTTGAGGCTTAAAACATCTATTGAGTGCTTTCCAATTGCTTAACACAATGGTACACTTTGTTCATTCCTGTGTACGTTTGTGTTAAGATGTGTTAAGTAATTGGAAAGCACTCGTAGAGCTTTAGGGCCATCATCTTCGCTTTCTTTTTTTTCAGCGTCAAATATATATTTATATTATTTTAAGTGTAAAATGTAAGCACCGCGAACACAGACATCATCAGGGTATCTATCGTGGAACAAAATCAAAATGGATTCCGATCGTAATGGATCAAAATGGATTCCGTTTTCCAGAAAACACTTTGACTATATAACTGTGGACTGCTAACTGTGGATTGGCTTTCTCACGCTGTTTGATTTGTTCCATGATAAGTGCCCAGGACTTCGGTCCTTATTCTTGAAAAGTATTGCATACTTTTCAAGAGAAACTAGTAGCATTTTCGGCCCGACTGAATTTAACCTGGATTTGAAGTAATGATGTTACGTGCTCTCCGATTGGTAGAGCGTGGTAACGTCAACCAATAGCGAAGCATTTTCTAACCCAAGTTGATGCAAACCCGGTCGGACCGAAAACGCTGTAAGTAAATGCTATAATATACGTGACGTGTACTATAGTATATCCCTCTTGCAAGTACGCTAATGCAATTGTAAAATAGGCTTTAGCGTGTCTTTCACTCCGTGATCGAAGTGAAAGAGTCTACGGGCACGGTGCCAAAGCGCGCTACGTGAGACGTGAGTGCGCTGTGCGACGCGGTCGCGCTGGCTGGCCTCCGGAGGCGAGGCGACGTAACGTTGGTGGAGGTGTATGGTGCACGTTTTGCGAAGACGTGAATTTCCTGAAAGCAAGAGAAGCCGAAGGTTTCAACGTGGTTTCGACAACGCGGTTCGGCCACGCATGTTACGCAACGTGTGACGCGACCGATGTACTTAATGCACCGTCGCTCGTTTTAGCGTCAAATTACTGAATACCATCGCGAGGGACAGATCTTTCGGGAACGCTCGAACGTTCGCCCAGCCGGACGCAATGACGATGCATCGCCTCCATGAAATCCGCTGGAAGTTATGACGACTTATTGTCCCTGTGGACATCGACGATCGTCCCGCGTATCAACGCGAATGATAATCAGCTGAGGATACAAAACGCTCCCTCATACATGTACATTCGACGACGATGTCCGACTCCGGCCGACCTTAACGTCGCGATTACGACGCTACAAGCGTTTCCTCGCAAGCGTCCTGCGCGGAGCGGAGAGCGACGACTGGCGAGAGTGGCGAGTCATCGAGACTTTCATTTATTTCAGGTAACCTGTTCCAGCCCGTGAGTGATTTCTCTTGAGACTCCATCCGCGTCTTCCGGCGCACTTCCGTGTGACACGTGACGAGGACGCTTGGTTCGTTTTTTTTTTTTATTTTTTTGTTGTTGGTCGCGACATTCAAGAAAATCGCCTCTCATCGCATCGCCGTAAATCGCGTTGCGTCACTCGCGCCCACGGCGCCATTTTCGAGAATTGTACGCAATTGTACGAGAACGAGGCGGCGTGAATTTAGTCACCGTGACAGTGGCGGGACGTGACTCGAGCGAGTGTGCACCAAGTGCCGCTTCTCACTTCGTCCCTCAAGCTCCTCTACCTCCCCACTTCTGGATCGTTCTAACCACGCGACAATCCCGTCAAGAGTGTGTATCGTTTACGGATTATACGGCCCGTAATTTACGGGTGAATCGTGTGTACATATAAATGGCGGCTGACGAAAGATGGTATTTCACGAGGGAACAGCTTGCAAACACGCCGAGCAGAAGATGCGGCATCGACGCGGACAAGGAGCTGAGCTATCGGCAGCAAGCGGCCAACTTTATTCAGGACATGGGACAACGGCTTGTTGTGTATCCTTTTATCGTACGCAGTACGCGCATGTTAAGGCGTTTCAATCGCGTTCTTCACGCTTCTAGATCATCTCCCCTCTTCCGCCCCCCTTCTCCCCCACCTTTTTCTGCCACTCTTGATCCTCTCGCTTTATCGAGCATTCGCAATCGCTGACGAGTATCGAAATATCTGCGAAAATCCGTTGTTCAAGACACGAGCAGTCTCGATGTTGATTAACGCGTCTCTTACTCCGCCCTGTACAATTGGGTTACGGAGCTGAAAACGGAGGATTCACCATATTGGAATCCCATATATCACAGGTATCGTAAATGATATTTGGTAATTCCCACAACGAGAGGATTCCTTGGTAATTCCTCGCGCGAAACCTTGGCTGATGTGGAGTATTGTATCTGAAGCAACACGTAAGTGTTGCTCAGAACACATATGCGTGTGTACATGGACCAAGACCCCTGGAGGAAAAACATTTGGAAAAAAAAAAAAAAAGATTAAATAATGCCCGGAATCTAATTTATAGATTTCGCGTGTGCATCTTGTAATTTTTGCTAATCATTTTCATCTATTTATATTTCGGGTGTTGTGTACAAAGTACAATTAAACAAGAAAACTTCGCAGGTTTTAAATATGTTCTAGGAACTGCAAAAGTGCGCATTTAAGTTTTAATCCAGCACTATCTTTGTAGTCATATGTGGACAATTTTAAAATATGTGGGCAGTTTACTTTGTGTTTTTTATTTTACTTAGACTTTTACAACTTATTTTCAGAAACTTCACATCAGTCCCTTTCATATAATATTACAAGTTTCTGCTTTTTTAAATTATATTTTAGCTAACAAGTTTGTTATAGCATGTTAATATTTTCATTTCTTGAATTTCTCTTTTTAACGATGCAAATGAAGTATATATATTTCATTACATTTCAGTACTTGTATCTTACAGTACTAAACTAAACCATTAAGAAGAAGTAAGAAGAATTGTTTAAATCAGCCGAATTCATTGAATTGACTTTCTCGACATGACTGTAAATTGAAAATAAAATTTAAATAAATTATTTTATATATAAAAACTATTTGTATCCCTTCTCTCTATTTTCTGATCTTACCATTTACTTTAATTCTAAGAAATAATTTTAAAGTAATTGCAATCTAAATCTTTTGTTATCTTTTGATTGTTGTCTTTACTTTAAAAGTACTAAAAAAAAAATTCCTTTCCTTTATACTAAGTCACTTTTTTTGTTATAATTTGACAAAAGGCTGCTTTTTTTTCTTTATTATGTCTACACAGATAGTACTGCGAGTAACATTATGCACATTTTTCTGGATTTTATTAAGTCAGGTTATCCTTTCGATACCTAATTATGTACAATGCTGAATACACTAAATATTTAATAGCAGTATGTTTCAACATTTTATTATCAAAATGTTTTATCATTGCTCAATGACTATACATTATATGATATATATTATATGTATAATTTTGCACAAAGAACAAACAGTTTTGTAATGTATACTTGACCAATTGAAAATATTTTGCTACATAGTTTTTAATCACATTCATTTATTAGGATTGTTACAGACCTGGGAAACCACAAAACGGGAAAAGTAAAAGGTTTAGGAGAAAATGTAAAAAAGTTTGAAATTTTGAAAAGTTCAGGAGAAATGTAAAAAAGTTCGAAATTTTGAAACGTTCAGGAGAAAATGTAAAAAAGTTTAAAATTTTGAAATTTGCTCACAATTCTATTAAACTGCTCCTATTCCCAATAATTGTTATAATTTTTTAAATATTATATCTGACATTTATAGTCAAATACATTAAAAACTCACGCACTTTAAATGGTTTTAATAAAATAATAAAAATTTATATTTTATTTATTTTTATTTGAGCGCCTTTTTTCCTCATAACTGCATTCTTTTTTTTCAATATTAATTTATTTTTTGTTGATTTAAATT